GTGACTGTTTTTGATGGAGATGGTGCTTTTCTTTTCTCTCATTTCTGTTAGGAGTAATGAAGCAAACATGGTTGAGAAGATTGCAAGAGATGTTTTAGATAAACTGAATGCTACACCATCTAGAGATTTTGATGGCATGGTGGGACTTGAAGCTCATTTAAAAAAAATGGAGTCTTTGCTAGATTTAGATGATGATGGAGTTAAGATGGTTGCAATCACTGGTCCTGCGGGGATTGGTAAAACTACCATTGCTAGAGCTTTACAAAGCTTACTCTCTCACAAGTTTCAGCTTACATGTTTCGTGGACAACCTTAGGGAAAGCTATCGTCATAGAGGTTTTGACGACTATGGTCTGCAGCTGCATTTACAAGAACGGTTTATTTCAAAGATTTTGAACCAAAATGGTATGAGGATATGCCATTTAGGTGCAGTAAAACAAAATCTGCGCGACCAAAGAGTGCTTATCATTCTTGATGATGTGAACAATATAAAGCAATTAGAGGCGCTGGCAAATGATACATGGTTTGGTCCTGGAAGCAGGATTGTAGTTACTACAGAAAACAAAGAGCTTTTGCAGCAACATGGTATCAACAATACATACCATGTGCCATTTCCATCTGATGAAGAAGCTGTCAATATCTTATGTAGATATGCTTTTGGAAAAAGCTGTATGTATCATGGTTTTGAAAGGCTTGCTAAAAGAGTAACATACTTTTGTGGTAACCTTCCATTGGGTCTCCGTGTGGTTGGTTCATCTTTACGTGGGAAGAATGAGGAGGAGTGGGAAGAAGTAATACGCAGGCTAGAAACTATTCTTGAACATCAAGATATCGAGGAAGTGTTAAGAGTCGGTTATGAGAGTTTACATGAGAGTGAGCAATCTCTATTTCTCCATATAGCTGTCTTCTTCAACCGTGAAGATGGCGATCTTGTGAAAGCCATGTTTGCTGACAATAAGAACCTGGATATCAAACATGGGATGAAAATCCTAGTCAACAGATCTCTCGTATATATATCTGATTATGGAAAAATAGTGATGCACAAGTTACTACAACAAGTGGGAAGACAAGCCATTAATAGACAAGAGCCTTGGGCACGTAAGATCTTAACTGAAGCTCAAGAGATTTGTGATGTCCTTGAAGATGATAAAGTAAGTTCTTTCTCTTTTATTTGATATATGTATACTATTCGCATTGATTTATACACATTTGGTGAAAAAATACACGTAAAAACTATGTACCTTGCTAACAACATCTCTGTATTGTGAATATTGGTTTAGGATAGTAGAACTGTGTCAGGCATATCATTTGATATATCAAGAATCGATGAAGTGTCTATAGGCAAGAAAGCTTTTAAAAGAATGCCTAATCTCCGATTCCTCAAAGTTTACAAAAGTAAAGACGATGGAAATGATATAATGCATATACCTGAGGAGATGGAGTTTCCGAGTCGTTTAAGGTTACTGCAATGGGATGCATACCAAAGCAAGTGTCTTCCTCCTACATTTCAAACGAAATGTCTTGTCAAACTTGACATGCAGAAAAGCCAGCTCGAGTACCTGTGGCAAGGAATCCAGGTTGGTGTTGTGTTCTTAAAATATACAAATATGTACTTTCTCTTCGTGTTATATGATTTTCCTCTCTTTGTCATTCTGTGTCAGCCGCTTACAAATCTCAAGAAGATGGATTTGTTTGGTTCCTCCAGTTTGAAAGAACTCCCAGATCTTTCAAATGCTACGAATCTGGAGAAATTGAATCTGGGTTATTGCAGGAGTTTGGTAGAGATTCCATCATCTTTTTCACATCTTCAAAAACTAGAGAGGCTGTGGATGTGTGGTTGCACAAACCTACAAGTCATTCCAGCTCATCTGAACTTAGCATCCCTAGATATTGTCAATGTGCGAGGATGCTCACGATTGAGAAATCTTCCGGTTATATCAACGCACACCAGGAACCTCTATATAAAGGACACAGCGATAGAATATCTGCCTGCATCATTTAGGCTTTGCACTCGTCTTCGATATCTCGATCTACGCGGTTATGGAAATATCAAGGGATTAACACATCTCCCCACGAGTTTAACGGGACTAAACCTAAGCAAGTCTGATATTGAAAGGATTCCAGATTGGATCAAAGATCTTCATCGGCTACAATCGCTGTGTGTAGTTGGCTGCAAAAGACTCGCATCATTGCCAGAGCTTCCTGGTTCGCTCCAGGGTCTAGACGCGAGTGATTGTGAATCACTAGAGACGATGTTATTCCCTTTGAGCAGTCCAAGTGTGTCACTTTGTTTCACCAACTGCGTCAAACTGGACCAACAATCACAAAGAGCAATTATCCAACAACCGTTTCGTTCCGGATGTATTAAGTTACCCGGAAGAGAAGTGCCTGCAGAGTTCGATCACCGAGCCAGAGGAAATTCGCTGACCATTCCACTCGATGGTAACAGGCCTATGCTCATTACAATTAAGGTTTGCCTCGTGATTTCACCCGTTGACGAGGAGTTCTGGGGATACGATATTTCCAAACGTCCAGTGGAGCATCTATTTATATTTAACTCTCGCTTGCGATATTTTCACTGCGGTGAAGTGAGCAATGAGGTAGTGTTCGAATTCAGGAGCAAATTCTATGAGATCCTTAGATGTGGCGTCCAGATCAATGAGTCCGAACCCTTGGAGGACGACACCGAAGGCGATGTCGTACATGTGAAGAAATCTGTGAGTCGAAAGAAAAGGAGATTCTCGATGGCGAAATACGTACAGATTGTTGTAGTTGGCTCTTCCTCTGCTTCAATCTCTCCCATTTCGTGAGAAAACGACGATTATTGAAGCCGGAAACAGATGACGTGGCCATTCCCCGATACATAAGAGCATCTCCATTCGTTACATACTCAAAATTGTATCTCAACTAATTTTATATTAATATTTATTATGTTATTTAATTTTATAATTAATTTTGAAGCAGAAAAAAACTAAACCATTTAAAAAAAGACACATGTCTTTAAAAGTATCTAAAAGTTTCTCGAATCAGATACGTATCTCAGCTTCTCTTTCTTCTTTTTATTAATTAATTAACTTTTAATACTGAAATATCTTGTTAGATACCTCCGATGGACGTGCTCTAATGACCTGGAAAGATTTGGGCTTCTAATGGGCCTACAATCAGAATTTCCCCCCAAAATTCGTTAGGGTCTCTAGGCCTCTCGCAATCTCTGCGCATTCATGGTAAATTTTGTTTTTGGTTTTTTTGTCAACAACATTAATTCAAAACGAGAGTGAAAAAATTTCAGAACATAGTTGCCGCGAGATCGACATTTAGGTATACTTTTTTTTTTCTTTCCAGAATTCACTTGTCATTGTGTATATAGGTTACGTGTTTAGGAAGATATTCTGAATCACTTGTACTTAGTCCATTGTTTCACATTAGTTTCCTTGTTAGAATCTGAGCAATGTTGTTACTTATAATTTATCTTCAGATGTTTGTGTTGAAGATAAAGAGTTACATAGAGAAGCCACTATATGATCAATTGGATCTAAGAAAGCTATAGTTAACAAGTCTTACCACCGCCAAGTTGACTACTGTAGTTGTATACAATACCAGCAGCAAGGTGTCTTTAGTTTAAGTTATTGTCAACATGTTATTTTCTATTTCATATTTTTCAAGTGGGATTACACCATGGATTATTTTTTAAATCAGCTGAGTTAGCTGACCGTTAATATATATTAATAAATACAGTTTGATCTCTAACTAATACTTATTTAGAACTAGTGTTTACTAAACTATATTTATTTTCTCTCGTTCAAAGTGTCTGCATGCTCCGGTTTAACAACAACAACTCGACTAATGATTTAACATTTTTTTTTTTTAATTTCGTTTACTTCTCGGAGCTTGAAGTAATAAAAAGGCGAAGAGATTTATGATCTCTTTCTCTCTTGTTAACAGTAACACTAAAGAACGAATAAATCTTATTCATCTGAAGTCTTGAGGTAAAAAAAAACGAATAAATCTTATCCATCTGAAGTTTCTCTTCCCATAAGTCAACTCGTTTTGCATTTATATAGAGAAGTATCTTTATAATTACTATATAGTTTTGCTTTAATATAGATGAAATAGCAGATTTATTTGCTCTCGTTCAAAGTGTCTGCATGCTCTGGGTTAACAACAACAACTCGACAAATACAATTAACATTTGTTAGAATTTCGTAAGTTACTCTTTCCATAAGTCAACGCGTTTTGAATTAATACAGGGAAGGATCTTATTACCATAGTTTTGCTTTTATATACATGAAATATCAGATTTATCTTTACTTAATTCATCTTCTCTTCACCTTTTTCCATCTCTTTTGTTTCTCATGGCTTCTCTTTCTTCTACAACATTGTATCGCAACTGGACTTACAACATCTTCGTGAGCTTCCACGGGCCTGACGTCCGTGAAACACTTCTCAGTCACATCCGCGAACAGTTTAATCGCAAAGGGATCACTACCTTTGATGATCAAAAGATTGTGAGAAGTGCAACGACAGGTCCTTCACTCACAGAAGGAATAAGGGAATCGAGGATCGCGATCGTGATTCTCTCCAAGAAATATGCTTCTTCAAGCTGGTGTTTGGATGAATTGGTGGAGATTTTGAGGTGCAAGGAAACTATGGGGCAGATAGTGATGACCTTATTCTATGGAGTGGAGCCATCCGATGTACGGAAGCAGACCGGAGAATTTGGGATCGTTTTCAAAGAAACTTGTGCAGATGAAACGGACATGGAAAGGCAGAAATGGAGCAAAGCTTTGAAAGATGTGGGCAACATCGCTGGAGAAGACTTCTTCAAATGGTTGGTAGTTAATTAAATTTGAATTAATTACGTTTTTTTATCTTAGGTTACCTATGTGACTATTTTGATAGAAGACTTCTTAAGATGGTTGATACTTCTTTTTTTTTTTTTTTTGTTAGGAATAATGAATTTTGGTAGTTAGGAAGAATTACGGTGAATAGAATACAATTGAAATGATTAAGTGAATGTTATTGGTTGAATGTGTATAACTTCTTGCTGAATGGATATTACAATTTACAAATACATGACATAAATGACAAGAACAGAAGAATGTTATCCTTCTTGTTTTTTTCTTTTTTCTCATGACTGTTTGATTGGAAACAGTACTTATCTTTACTTTTTCTTTTGTTGTGGGTAATGAAGCGAACATGATAGAGAAGATTAGCAGAGATGTTTCAGAAAAACTGAATGCTAGACAGTCTTAAGGATTTTGATGGCAAGTCATATATTATTGGGAGTATAAGACTGTTATCTCTATGTTTTTTCCTCTATTTGATGGGAAACAATGTTTTTTTGGGCTCTCTTTTGTTAGGGACAATGAAGCCAAAATGATTGAGAAGATTGCAAAAGATGTTCTAAATAAACTAAATGTCACACCGTCTAAGGATTTTGATGGCATGGTTGGACTTAAGGCTCATTTGGGGGAAAATGATGTCTATGCTAGATTTAGATGATGATGGAGTTAAGATGGTTGCAATCTCTGGTCCCGCAGGTATTGGCAAGACTACAATTGCAAGAGCTTTACATAGTCTGCTCTCTAGCAAGTTTCCGCTTACTTGTTTTGTAGACAACCTTAGGGAAAGCTGTCATAGTGGTTTTGATGAACATGGTTTGAAGCTACGCTTACAAGAAAAAATTCTTTCAAAGGTTTTGAACCACAATGGTATGAGGATATGCTATTTAGGTTCAGTAAAAAAAAAATCTATGCGACCAAAAAGTGCTTATCATTCTTGATGATGTGAACAAACTAAATCAACTAGAGGCGTTGGCTAATGAAACTACATGGTTTGGTCAAGGAAGTAGGATTATTGTGACCACAGAAGACCAAGAGCTTTTGCAGCTACATGGTATCAACAGTACGTACCTTGTGGAGTTTCCATCTGATGTAGAAGCTATCGAGATCTTACGTAAATATGCTTTCAGAATACATTATGCACATGATGATTTTGAGAATCTTTCTGTAAGGATAACGGAGCTTTGTGGTAAGCTTCCATTGGGCCTACGTGTGCTTGGCTCATCTTTACAAGGGAAGGAGGTAGAAGAGTGGGAAGAAGTAATGCACAGGCTAGAGACTGTGCTTGATCGAGATATCGAGGACGTCCTAAGAGTCGGCTATGAAAGTTTACATGAGAATGAGCAATCTCTATTTCTCCACATTGCTCAACTATAAAAATGTTGATTTTGTGAAAGCCTTATTTGCTGATGATGACTTGGTCGTCAAAGGTGGGTTGAAGATCCTAGCCAATAGATCTCTCATAGAGATATCGACAAATGGGGAAAGAATAGTGATGCACAAATTACTGCAGCTAATGGCTAGACAAGCCATTCATAAACAAAAACCTTGGAAGCGCCAAATTTTAATGCATCCTCATGAGATTTGTGATATCCTCGAAAATGAAACAGTAAAAATTTTCTTTCGTTCCTTGTTGATTATATATACTTGTTTTAAAGAAGTCATTTGGTTAAGAATAGATACACAAAATCATACCTATGGCTATGGGTGCTAACCATTTTTATTTATTTTGGAATATTGGTTTAGGGCACTGAAGCTGTGTCTGGCATATCATTTGATATATCAAGAATTGATGAAGTGTCAATAGGCCCGAGAGCTTTTAGAAAAATGCCTAATCTTCGGTTCCTCAGTGTGTACAAAAGTAACGATGATGGGAATAATAAAATGCATATACCAGAGGGGATGGAGTTTCCACGTCGTCTAAGGTTACTACAATGGCAGGCCTACCCGAGCAGGTGTCTTCCTCCAAGATTTCATCTGGAATATCTTGTAGAGCTTGATATGACATTTAGCAAGCTCGAGTACCTTTGGCAAGAAGCTCCGGTTCGTGTTGTACTTTAAATATATGAATACGTGTTTTATGTCGTCATGTTGTTTCTCTCCGTTATATAATGTGGTTTTCACATTTCAGCGGCTTACGAATCTCAAGAAGATGGATTTGTCAGGGTCTTATTATTTGAAGGAAATTCCGGATCTTTCAAATGCTACGAATTTGGAGACATTAAAACTGAATGGTTGCAAGTTTTTGTTAGAGATTCCACCCACTTTTTCGCATCTTAAGAAACTACGGAAGTTGAAGATGAGTGGCTGCATTAACCTACAAGTCATTCCAGCTCACATGAACTTGGAATCTCTTGATTCACTCAACATGGAAGAGTGCTCAAAACTGCGAGAGTTTCCAGCAATGTCAAACGAACATAAGAAAACTGAAGCTATCAAACACAGCGGTTGAAGATGTGCCTGCATCAATCGCGATGTGGTCACGTCTTGAGCACCTCTCTATACGTGACAATGGAAATCTTAATGGGATCACACATCTGCCCACGAATGTTCGATCCGTAGACCTAATATGCTCTGGAATTGACAAGATGCCAGATTGCATGAAAGGTCTTCATCGGCTTCAAGAACTTTATCTATCCGGCTGCACAAGACTCGCATCATTGCCAGAACTCCCTGGTTCAGTCAAGTACCTAATTGCCAACGATTGTGAATCACTGGAGACAGTGATTTCCCATTTGAAACACACTCCAGATGCGATTCTTAGTTTCATCAACAACTTCAAATTGGGCCACGAGAAATTACCCTAGGATCGTTTTTACGCGGAAGCGTTCTTTTACCAGGAAGAGATGTACCTTCAGAGTTCGATCACCGAGCCAGAGGAAACTCCTTGACAGTTCCTCATTCTGGTTTCGTCAGTTTTAAGGTTTGCCTCGTGATTTCACGAAACCCTCGGAAAAACAGAGACTATGTAAATTCACAGCTATTGAGCTGTCGCATATTTGGCAAAGACGACTTATACCCCATTGACAGGGAATTCTACGTAGGTAATGCCTTGGACTATCGAGCGGAACATCTGTTTATATTTCACTCTCGCCTACTTGACGAACGTATCGTTGACCTTCTTAAATCGAAGAGAGAGATAAGGTTCGAATTCAGCAACACATCCAGTGTCTTTGACATTATCGAGTGTGGTGCCAAGATCTGGACCCAGCAAAACATCAAAGGGAGCTACGAATCTGGATTAGAACAAGTGTTAGAAGACGAAATTGAGCTTGAGCCCAGCGAAGCCTTTGAAGACGACGTTGAGCCTTTGAAGACGACACCGAACACAGTGAACCTACAAATGGAGTAATCTGTGACGGCGAAAAACACACCGATTGTGATGCAGCGTCATATCGGCTTTGGTGTTAATAACATTGGTTTTAGGTTTATCTGCCTTCGGATTTATTTGGCTTTTGGGTTTATTTGGCTTTTAGATCATTGACTATTATAAGCGTTGGCCATGTTTGCTTGCGCAAAGCTACAAGTCATACCAACTCGCATGAGCTTGGCATCTCTTGAGTTTGTCGATATGGCTGGATGCTCATGGCTGAGAGACTTTCCAGATTTTTCTACAAACATCACAGCACTCAAGCTATCAAACACCTCTGTAGAACAAGTGCCTGCATCAGTTCAGCACTGGCCTCGTCTTCAATCTCTCGAACTAAGCTGCAATGGAATGCTTAAGAGATTGACCAATGTTCCCGAAAGCGTGACTCATCTCGACCTAAGCTATAGCGGAATCGAGAAGATCTCAGATTGCATCAAAGGACTACAAAATCTCAATCTTTCGGGCTGCAGAAAACTCAAGTCTTTGCCAGAGCTTCCTGCTCAGCTCATGTTCCTATCTGCAAACGACTGTGATTCACTAAAGCACGTTCTTGGCCCATTCCACAGTCCTAATGCGCATCTCAATTTCACACACTGCTTCAAATTGAGTCAAGCACGAGGAGCGATTATCCAACAGTCGTTTCTTAACGGGTGGGCTCTGTTACCAGGAAGAGAAGTACCTTCAGAGTTCGATCACAGATCCAGAGGAAACTCCTTGACGATTATTCATCATTCTGGTTTCGCCGGATTTAAGGTTTGCCTCGTGATTTCGCCTAATCAACAAATCAGAGATTACAGAGTTTCGCAGATACTGTGTCGTCGCATAGTCAAAGGCGACTTGGCCAACGCCATCAAAGTGTATCGTATCCCCAGATTTCGAACGGAGCATCTGTTTGTCTTTCACTCTGATTGTGTTGAAGAGAATAGAAGCATCAGCGAGATAGTTTTCGAATTCAGCAGCAAACTCCACGACTTCGAGATTACTGAGTCTATGAGTTTGAATCCAGCGATTCGTTCAGAAACGACTCGGAAGACGGTGACCGTACAAATGGACTAATCCACAACTTGAAAGAAGATGAAAATGTCGAATCCAAGAAACATACAGGTTGCTAGAGTTGGCTCATCATCCTCTGCTTGGATCTCTCCGATATGGTGAAAAGCATTGCAAGCTTTGGTTTGGGGAGGAAGAAGACGATAGAAGCCCTGAGAAAATGATGACGTGGCGGTATCCTAATTCATGTGGGCTGAGATATTATGGGCCTTAAATTGGCCCTAAAAGCCTTCATCTTGTTTTGAAATTTTTCTTACAGCGTTTTTTTGACTTTTCAATAATACTAGAAGTCAATGGGACGGGACGTGATGTGAAATAAATCAATAATGTATTTTGTCTTTTCATGCATTATTAATTCTTCCACTATAACGCGTTTGAACAGTTACAGAAGGACCCATTTGTTTACTTTTGCTTTTATATACCTCTCGAGAGACACACAACCTTCACAGTAGTTTACTTATCTTCTTCTTCTCAATACCCCCATTTTCCATCTCAGTGAGCATGTCTCTCATGGCTTCTCCTTCCTCTTTTCCCTCTCGCAATTACAAATTCAATGTCTTCTCGAGCTTCCACGGGCCTGACGTCCGTAGAACACTTCTAAGCCACATCCGCGAACAGTTTAAACGCAGCGGAATCACTATGTTCGATGATAACAAGATTGAGAGAAGCGCAACGATCGCCCCTTCACTCAAAGAAGCTATAGAAGAATCGAGGATCTCGATAGTGATTCTCTCCAAGAGATATGCTTCTTCAAGCTGGTGTTTGGATGAACTGGTGGAGATATTGAGGTGCAAGGAAACCATGGGGCAGATAGTGATGACCATCTTCTATGGAGTGGAGCCTTCCGATGTACGGAAACAGACCGGGGAATTCGGGATCGCTTTCAGTGAAATTTGTGCTCGTAAGACAAACAAGAAAAGGCAAAAATGGATCAAAGCTTTGAAAGATGTGGGCAACATCGCTGGAGAAGACTTCTTCAGATGGTGGGTCTTTAACTAATCTAAGCCTTTATATATCTCTTATGTTTTATTTAAGTGGTAGTAATTGGATTAGATGATTAAGGGAATGTTTTTGTTAAATAAAATATTAGAAATTACACAGAGAATTATAATAATCTCTGTGACTGTTTTTGATTCTTTTCTCTCTTTTCTGTTAGGAATAATGAAGCAAACATGGTTGAGAAGATTGCAAGAGATGTTTTAGATAAACTGAATGCTACACCATCTAGAGATTTTGATGGCATGGTGGGACTTGGAGCTCATTTGAAAAAAATGGAGTCTTTGCTAGATTTAGATTATGATGGAGTTAAGATGGTTGCAATCACCGGTCCTGCGGGGATTGGTAAAACTACCATTGCTAGAGCTTTACAAAGCTTACTCTCTCACAAGTTTCAGCTTACATGTTTCGTGGACAACCTTAGGGAAAGCTATCGTCATAGAGGTTTTGACGACTATGGTCTGCAGCTGCATTTACAAGAACGGTTTATTTCAAAGATTTTGAACCAAAATGGTATGAGGATATGCCATTTAGGTGCAGTAAAACAAAATCTGCGCGACCAAAGAGTGCTTATCATTCTTGATGATGTGAACAATATAAAGCAATTAGAGGCGCTGGCAAATGAAACTACATGGTTTGGTCCTGGAAGCAGGATTGTAGTTACTACAGAAAACAAAGAGCTTTTGCAGCAACATGGTATCAACAATACATACCATGTAGAGTTTCCATCTGATGAAGAAGCTGTCAATATCTTATGTAGATATGCTTTTGGAAAAATCTGTATGTATCATGGTTTTGAAAGGCTTTGTAAATCTTCAAACTCTTCCTTAGGGATGCAATCTTCCATTGGTACAACACTCAATGTATTAATGGAAGGTTACCGCAAAGCTGCAAGAGTAATAGAGCTTTGTGGTAACCTTCCATTGGGTCTCCGTGTGGTTGGTTCATCTTTACGTGGGAAGAATGAGGAGGAGTGGGAAGAAGTAATACGCAGGCTAGAAACTATTCTTGATCATCAAGATATCGAGGAAGTGCTAAGAGTCGGTTATGAGAGTTTGCATGAGAGTGAGCAATCTCTATTTCACCATATAGCAGTCTTCGTCAACCGCGATGACGGTGATCTTGTGAAAGCCATGTTTGCTGACAATAAGAACCTGGATATCAAACATGGGATGAAAATCCTAGTCAACAGATCTCTCATACATATATCTGATGATGGAGAAATAGTGATGCACAAGTTACTACAACAAGTGGGAAGACAAGCCATTAATAGACAAGAGCCCTGGGCACGTAAGATCTTAACTGAAGCTGAAGAGATTTGTGATGTCCTTGAAGATAATAAAGTAAGTTCTTTCTCTTTTATTTCACACATATATATATATATACTCTTTGGATTGATTTATACACATTTGGTAAAAAACAATACACGCAAAAACTATCTATCGTGCTAACAATATCTCTGTATTGTGAATATTGGTTTAGGGTAGTAGAACTGTGTCAGGCATATCATTTGATATATCAAGAATCGATGAAGTGTCTATAGGCAAGAAAGCTTTTAAAAGAATGCCTAATCTCCGATTCCTCAAAGTTTATAAAAGTAAAGATGATGGGAATGATATAATGTATATACCTGAGGAGATGGAGTTTCCGAGTCATTTAAGGTTACTGCAATGGGATGCATACCCAAGCAAGTGTCTTCCTCCTACATTTCAAACGAAATGTCTTGTCAAACTTGACATGAAGCGAAGCCAGCTCGAGTACCTCTGGCAAGGAACCCAGGTTGGTGTTGTGTACTTAAAATATACAAATATGTACTTTCTCTTCGTGTTATATGATGTTCCTCTCTTTGTCATACTGTGTCAGCCGCTTGCAAATCTCAAGAAGATGAGTTTGAATGGTTCCTCGAATTTGAAAGAACTGCCAGATCTTTCAAATGCTACAAATCTGGAGGAATTGAATCTGGGTTATTGCACGAGTTTGGTAGAGATTCCATCCTCCTTTACACATCTTCATAAACTAGAGAAGCTGGAGATGTATGGTTGCACAAACCTACAAGTCATTCCAGCTCATCTGAACTTAACATCCCTAGAATCCCTTGATATGCGAGGATGCTCACGATTGAGAAATCTTCCGGTTATATCAACGCACATCAGCTACCTTACTATACAGGAGACAGCGGTAGAAGATCTGCCTGCATCATTTAGGCTTTGCACTCGTCTTCGGTCTCTCGATCTAAGCGGTAATGGAAATATCTGCCTGCATCATTTAGGATTAACACATCTCCCCACGAGTTTAACGAGACTACACCTAAGCGAGTCTGATATTGAAAGGATTCCAGATTGCATCAAAGATCTTCATCGGCTACGATGGCTAATTGTATGTGGCTGCAAAAGACTCGCATCATTGCCAGAGCTTCCTGGTTCGCTCGACATTCTAATCGCAAATGATTGTGAGTCACTAGAGACGGTGTTTTTCCCTTTGAGCAGTCCAAGTGTGGGGCTTTGTTTCAACAACTGCGTCAAACTGGACCAACAATCACAAAGAGCAATTATCCAACAACCGTTTCGTTGTCCCGGAAGTATTCGGTTACCCGGAAGAGAAGTGCCTGCAGAGTTCGATCACCGAGCCAGAGGAAATTCGCTGACCATTCGGCTCGATGGTAACAGGCCTATGCTCATTACATTTAAGGTTTGCCTCGTGATTTCACCTAACAATCACATCACCGGATACTCTCCACAATCAGTACGGTGTCGCCGCATAGTCAACGACCGCTTTGACGAGGAGTTCTGCGGATTCTTTTTTCGCAAATGTCGAATGGAGCATCTATTGATATTTCACTCTCGCTTGCGATATTATCACTGCGGTAAAGTAAGCAGTGAAGTAGTGTTCGAATTCAGCAGCACAACCCAAGACTTGGACATCCTTGAATGTGGTGCCCAGATCAATGAGTCCGAACCCTCAGAAGAAGACGACACCGAAGGCGGTGTCCGTACATATGAAGAAATCTGTGAATCGAATGAAGAAAGAGAATCTCGAAGGCGAAAAACGTACAGATTGTTGGAGTTGGCTCTTCTCTCTGCTTCAATCTCTCCGATTTCGTGAGAAGAACGGCGATTATTAAAGCCGGAAACAGATGACGTGGCCATTCCCCGATTCATAATGACCCGGAAACATTTGGGCTTCTAATGGGCCTATAATCAGACTTTTCCCCCAAAACTCGTTAGGGTCTCTAGGCCTCTCGCAATCTCTGCGCATTCATGGTAAATTTTGTTTTTGGTTTTTTTGTCAACAACATTAATTCAAAACGAGAGTGAAAAAATTTCAGAACATAGTTGCCGCGAGATCGACATTTAGGTATACTTTTTTTTTTTCTTTCCAGAATTCACTTGTCATTGTGTATATAGGTTACGTGTTTAGGAAGATATTCTGAATCACTTGTACTTAGTCCATTGTTTCACATTAGTTTCCTTGTTAGAATCTGAGCAATGTTGTTACTTAGTATAATTTATCTTCAGATGTTTGTGTTGAAGATAAAGAGTTACATAGAGAAGCCACTATATGATCGATTGGATCTAAGAAAGCTATAGTTAACAAGTCTTACCATCAAGTTGACTACTGTAGTTGTATACAATACCAGCAGCAAGGTGTCTTTAGTTTAAGTTATTGTCAACATGTTATTTTGCATTTCATATTTTTCAAGTGGGATTGTACACACATGGATTATTTTTTTAAGTCAACTGAGTTAGCCGACCGTTAATATATATTAATAAATACAATTTGATCTCTGACTATTATATTTTATTGAGAACTAGTGTTTACTAAACTATATTTTCTCTCGTTCAAAGCGTCTGCATGCTCCGGTTTAACAACAACAACTCGACTAATAACTAACATTTTTTAGAATTTTCGTTTACTTTTTTAGAATTTCTCAAGTTACTCTTCCCATAAGTCAACGCGTTTTGCATTAATACAGAGAAGGATCTTTATTACTATAGTTTTGCTTTTAGCCTTTTATATACATGAAATATCAGATTTATCTTTACTTCATCTTCTCTTCACCCTCTTCCATCTCTCTTGTTTCTCATGGCTTCTCTTCCTTCTACATTATTGTCTCGCAACTGGACTTACAACGTCTTCGTGAGCTTCCACGGGCCTGACGTCCGTGAAACACTTCTCAGTCACATCCGCGAACAGTTTAATCGCAATGGGATCACTACCTTTGATGATCAGAAGATTGTGAGAAGTGCAACGATAGGTCCTTCGCTCACAGAAGGAATAAGGGAATCGAGGATCGCGATCGTGATTCTCTCCAAGAAATATGCTTCTTCAAGCTGGTGTTTGGATGAATTGGTGGAGATTTTGAGGTGCAAGGAAACCATGGGACAGATAGTGATGACCGTATTCTATGGAGTGGACCCATCCGATGTACGGAAGCAGACCGGAGATTTGGGATCGTTTTCAAAGAAACTTGTGCAGATAAGACGGACTTGGAAAGGCAGAAATGGAGCAAAGCTTTGAACTGTGTGGGCAACATCGCTGGAGAAGACTTCTTCAGATGGTTGGTAGTTAATCAATTTAATGAAATTTTTATTAGGCTATATGCAGTGGAATAAGGTCATTTTGATAGAAACGGTACTTCTCTTTTCTTTTATTTTTTGTTAGGGTTAATGAAGCGAAAATGATTGAGAAGATAGCAACAGATGTTTCAGATAAGCTTAATGTTACACCGTCTAGAGATTTTGATGACATGGTGGGACTTGAGGTTCATGTGAGAAACATGATGTCTTTGCTAGATTTAGATAACGTTGGAGTTAAGATGGTTGCAATCACTGGTCCCGCAGGGATTGGCAAAACTACAATTGCCTTAGCTTTACAAAGTCAGATCTCTAATAGGTTTCAGCTTACTTGTTTTGTGGACAACCTTAGAGGAAACTATCATAGTGGTCTTTATGAGTTGCGTTTACAAGAACAGTTTCTTTCAAAGGTTTTGAACCAGGATGGTATAAGGATATGCCATACAGGTGTAGTAAAAGAAAGGCTATGCAGGCAGAAAGTGCTTGTCATTCTTGACGGTGTAACCCATATAAAGCAATTAGAGGCATTAGCGAAAGAAGCTTCATGGTTTGGTCCTGGAAGTAGGATTGTAGTAACCACAGAAAACAAAGAGATTTTGCGGCAACACGGTATCGATAGAACATACCAATACCAAGTGCGGTTTCCATCTGTTGAAGAAGCTGTCAAGATCTTATGTAGATATGCTTTTAGTAATACCTCTTTCGAAAAGCTTGTGTTAAGAGAAAAGTATCCTTTTATTCACTCAACACACGAATACACGATTGATACGTAACGGAAACTCTCCGATGACGATCAACTCAAAATAATCACGAGAACAAGCTCTCGATGATCGTCTGATTTCACAGAGAATTCTATCTCCTGTGACCCCTGTTTTCCAAGTTCTCGATGAAAACCCGTAAAATGTATTCCCTATTCTTTATATACAATGAATTATAAAATACAACAAACAAATCCACGTCATCTGAGTCAAAGCTCTTCTTATTCCCGCTCAGCATCTTTCGACTCTGTTTCTTCTTCTATCACTCGCTTCTTCTTCCTTACGTAGACCTTAAGTGGCTTAGCAATACCCCCCCTCGGCAAAACGAAGCTTGTCCTCAAGCGCTAAATGTGGGAATTGCTTCATCAAATCCACTGCAGTAACCCATGAGCGTTCATGTTCTTCAAGGCCAGTCCACTTAACCAAAGCTTCTAAGTGACCCTCATTGTCATAACGAGTATCTTCAATGCTTTCAGGTTCAATAACCACATCTGGTTCATTGTGTAACGATTCTGGCAAGGGAACCACCTCGTGATTAACTCCCAGAACTGGCTTTAACTGAGAAACATGAAAAACATTATGAATTTTTGAATCTTGAGGAAGTTTAAGCCTGTAAGCAACTGCTCCAATCTTGGCTATAACTTCAAACGGTCCGTAGTACTTTGCTGCTAACTTTTGACACCAACGCTTCGACACTGATTGTTGCCTGTACGGACGAAGTTTGAGGAAGACTCTGTCACCAACAACAAATTCCAGCTCTCGGCGATGTTTATCAGCATTGTCTTTCATCCTAGCCTGAGCGATGACAAGATTATCCTTAAGGCGGTTCAATATAGCATCACGTTCTTTCAGCATCGTTTCTAACTCGAAATTAGCCGTTGAACCTTCTTCAAATCTCAGTAAATCTGGAGGATCTCGCCCATAAACCACCTTAAACGGAGTTGTTCCAATGGCAGTATGATAACTCGAATTGTACCAAAATTCAGCCCAAGTCAGAAACTTGCTCCACGACTTAGGATGTGAAGACGCGAAACAACGAAGGTATGTTTCTAGGCAGCGATTGAGAACCTCAGTTTGCCCGTCCGTTTGAGGGTGAAAAGCTGTACTGTACTTTAGCTGTGTCCCTGCTAATCGAAACAGCTCTCTCCAAAAAGAACTCAAGAAGATCTTATCTCTGTCAGATACAATCGATAGAGGAAACCCATGAAGTCTTACTATCTCTTGAGTGAATTTGTGTGCCACATCCGCTGCAGTAAAGGGATGCTTAAGCTTGATAAAGTGAGCATATTTACTCAGTCGGTCGACCACAACAAAAATCACATTAGCTCCAAGAGACAATGGTAAGCCTTCAATAAAGTCCATTGAAATCGCTTCCCATATCTTATCAGGAATCGGTAACGGTTGTAACAGACCAGCAGGGGACAATGTTGAGTATTTATGTCTTTGACATACATCACATTCAGCCACATACTTCTGAATGTCCTTACTCATTTTCCTCCAATAGAACAGATTCTTCACTCTTCTGAGAGTTTTCAAAACTCCCGAGTGCCCTCCCACCAAACCATTATGGTACTCCTGCAAAATTTGAGGGATATGTTTAGAGTTTCTGGGAATGACCAATCTGTTCTTGTACATCAACTGCCCTTTCACCACAGAATAGCCTTTTCGTGTTTCAGAACCAGCATTCACTCTTACAAGCAATTCCTGTATTTTCTCATCCTTTTCGATATCTTTGAGAATGTCCTGCAGGTGCAAACTTGTTGGAGCTGTTAAAGCTGACAACTCCAGGGCATGTAAATTTGATTTTTCTCTTACAATGCGAGACAACCCGTCTGCAGCTTTATTTTCTACTCCTGGCTTGTAAATGATATCAAAATCGTACCCCAGTAATTTTGTAAGCCAGCGCTGGTACTCTAAGGATACTTCTCGTTGCTCCAATAAGAATTTCAAGCTTTTCTGATCTGTGTGAACTATGAACTTTCTTCCCAACAAATAATGTCGCCACTTCTGTATTGCTAACACGATAGCCATGAGCTCTCTTTCATAAATGGGTCTCACTTGATCTCTGTCGGATAAACCAGAACTGAAGTATGCAACTGGTCTTTGCCCCTGCATCAACACAGCTCCCAATCCGTACCCTGAAGCATCAGATTCTAAAACGAAGCTTTCCTCAAAATTAGGTAATGCTAGCACCGGAGCTGTAAGCATAGCTTCTTTTAAAATCTCAAATGCTTTTTGAGCTCGTTCTGACCACTCGAACTGATCTGTCTTTAACAATTCTGTTAAGGGACGAGCAATTGTACCATACCCTTTAACAAATTTTCTGTAGTACCCGGTCAACCCTAAGAATCCACGCAGCTCTTTAACCGTTTTTGGTGCAGGCCACTTCTTCATCGCCTCTGTCTTAGCTGGGTCTGTGGCTACTCCATCTCGAGATATTACATGACCCAAATACTCCACCTGTGGTTGACCGAAAAGGCACTTCTTCTTATTGGCGAACAGTTTATGTTCAACAAATATCTCCATAACTGTTCTTAGATGTTCCAAATGAGTTTCTAACGACGGACTGAAAACCAGAATATCGTCGAAGAATACCAAGATAAAACGACCCAAGAAAGGCCTGAATAATTCATTCATCAAGGCTTGAAAAGTTGCAGGTGCATTGGTTAGCCCGAAGGGCATAACCAGAAACTCATAATGGCCATTTACTGTTCTGAAAGCAGTTTTCTCGATGTCCCCTTCCAACATTCGTATCTGATGATAACCCGAT